TTTCTGTATTCACTTTACATGCTAAAAGTTGTACTTGTCTTCGCCTAGCTACGAAGTAGGAAGATCCTGGCACCATATAAAATGCTTTCGCCATGAAGATCCTACTACTAGATACAAACCACACAAAAAGAGCGAAGTTCCCTTCAGTGGATAATCTTTAATCTTTAATTCCTTCTCCACTGTTAACCACATGGACCGACAATTACTGCATGTAAACGGGACGAAAAGTTTTTCCACTTTCAAGGATCTTGCTTTTGATAGGATCTTCTTTCGTGTAAACATCCCGTTAAGGTGATTCCATAGTAAAAGAACCTAACATAGATTGTAGCTAAAACTTGGTACACTGATGTAACAAGTCAAGAAGATGATAAAAAAGTAATAAAAAGTGGGGGTCACCGTGCTCGTTTTGACGTCACAATGCTGACAAATACGGCTATTTAGGACCCTTTTACAAAAACCGCGGGCAGCTCAAAACTAGACAAAAAGGAAAGATTTTTTTGATGCTGCATGTGGCATCACACAGAATTTGACTTTAATGTATTCTTTATCCACTTACGTACCAGAAAAATGCCATTTAATGCCCTTGTTTTTACTTTACGCCCCAAAGTAGAATTAAATTGGACGCGCGCTTTTCGACCCGTGATGGCTCAATCCGTACAATTTAGTAAAATTGCCAAAAAACTAAACATAGATTTGTGCCAATTTTTTTCTCATCGAAAGGAAGCACTGTCCTTATTAAAATCATGAAATAAAAAATGGGGGTCACCGTACTCGTTTTTGCGGTAGAGCTGCAGAAAGTGCGCGCCAAACGCATTTTCTCCGATTTTTGAGAGAGGACTGGGGCGAGTTTCAAAATAGAATGTATGTGAAAGGGGGAAGAAAGTATTAAAAAATCCGTTTTTACAGAATTTACATCGAGATATCACATTTAGGACACAATGTGATAAAGAAAGTGTTTAAATGAAGATCAAAAGTAAGCACAAGTTAAACATCCACTATCGAGGCTCTCCGAGAGGAGGTCGAACTCAGCAACACGCGTACTGCTTACGTTATGCACATTCCCAACACAATGAGTCTCACCTTGCCAAGAAACAACCGCAAGCAAAAATTCCAATAGCGTTTCTCTTCAGTCAGCTTCATTTTAATAATATTACTTCACATGCTGTTTTTTACGGCTGCCATGTTGTTATGCGCAGTAAGAGATGCGCAGTGCAAAACTAGGGAATCGCCTTAAGTAGCATTCCATTATTTCAGTCATTATTAAACTCCTTAACTCCCCAGAGGCTGACCTGACGTTTCAGTCACATGAATTTTTCTGGCTTCTGTAGGGTTTTGTCGAATTTTTCTCTTTTTAAGTTGATTTGCGATTACGACTTCCTGTGTATCCAAATTAGCATTCCACTGTTTCAGTGCGATTCAGGTCATTCAACTCCTCATTTCCCCAAACGCTGAATTCAAATTCCTCCCCTAAGTTTTCAGTCAGGTGAATTTTACCAGGTCCTTCTGCAGGATTAAATCCGTATATTCAATTGGACAAAATACCTATTGAATATTTTTATAAGGTTTTGGAGCACAGATACATACTTAGCAATGGTTTTATTTCTTTTATAAAAAATGCTTTTCAGTCCCCACTTTCTCTAACTTGGTTGAGGGTTAACACTGTAAAACTAAAAGAAGAATCAAATGCAGAACCATGGCTCTTGACGGAATATTATTCAGAAAAAAAATTCACGTGAACTTAAAAAGGGTTGTACTCATAGATAAAGTTATATCAGTCCCTCGAAAAACTAATTCATGTAAATAACTTGATTAAAGCCACAAGGTTTAGCTACGAGACTAAATGCGGCCTGTGCAGCTGATCAATACATTTATTAATCAACAAGGGAGATGCTTACTATATTTCTTTCCACGGAAAAAAAAATTGAAATATCTGAATTCGGCAATTGTTTTCGTCGCACACAACAATTTGGTCATTACCTAGAACAGCTGTTGAGAATGGATAATTGAATTCCCCTAATTTGCTGCCTTTTGTACCGAATTTTCCTACAAACTTCCCATCTAGTTCAAAGACTTGTATTCTATTATTATTCCCATCACAGACCAACAGGTGCTTGAACTGAATCACTGACAGAAAACGTGGACAATTAAACTCCCCGTCGCCCTTTCCCTGCTTACCAAACTTGTACTGAAAATGCCCCTCCCTGTTAAATACTTTGATACAATGTTCATTTGAGTCTGACATTATGAAATATTCAACACACTGAACACAGTGAACAGGAAAACTAAAAGAACCCTGTCCACCTATCTTCATTACAAACCTACCATCCGGGGTAAAGATCTTAATCAGTTTTTTATCTGTATCAGCAACAATAACATGACCAGTACTATCTAAGGATAAACCCCAAGGATGATAGAGCTGACTATCAAGGTTTCCTATGCCGCCAAATGAACCCAGGAGTCTCCCCTTCCCCTTCCCATTCCCGACAGCCCTGGTTTCCCAACATCGCTGACATACTCACTTCTTTTTGCGCAGCTTTGTTTCCATGGCAATCGATGTTGTGTGCAGCAATTCAATAAATGACGCTGTTAGTTTGAAGTCTGCTCAAAACTAACATTTAATGTTATTGTAAAAAGCGGATCGACAACGATTGTATATATATACATGTACTGTTATCTACCATAGAAATGACGTCAAATTGTTAAAAACGTTGTAGTGAAACCACGCTCTTGGTTATACGTTAGTTTCGAAAACTTTTACGTCATCTATGACCGACAAGAGTTCCGATCATGGAAAATTGTTCTCCATTCTTAATTAACAGTTTTTGACGCCCAGTTCTTTTCTCCGAAAATCGCGCGGGTGATTACTTCACCAACACGTCATTTCCATGGTCTGTATTCTCATCTACTATATCATAGCTCTCCACCAATAAGGAGGCGAGAAATCGTTAGTGTAAAAGACGATGCAATCTTTAAAACACGTGGTGCCGCGAGTGTTTTGAACATCTTCAAAAACTCAGTCCCTGGACTATTCCATTTCTATAGTACTGCCAAATAATAAATTTCCCTTTTTGATTATGTTGTTTAAAAAATGACAACCAAGACATCAGAATTGGAAAGGTTGGTCAAGTAAAGTTATTTATGCAAATAAGTCGTGAAGGCGCATGGATTCATTTGCAACAACTTAAAGCCGTCGCATTTACCCGTAGGAATTTTTTTAATTGTTTGTTTAAAACAACAATTACAAATGCGACAGCCATACGGATACATGTTGCAAATAAATGGATAGACTTATTGCTTTTTGCCGTTCTCATCGTTCAGTTAAGCTTCCGATTTCCACCGTTGATAACAGCACGAGAGGAAAGAAGTTAATGGAGGAGAGTGATTGCAACGCGACATGAGAGGTTTTGGTCGAACACAGGTAAAAATTGTATCATGTATCACTCAGCCTTAACATGCTAAGCAGTCCTTATAATCGTTATAATACTAATTGAGAATTTATTCGGTGCCAGGTTTCTCGGTTAAAAAGTTCCTTCATTTGAGAATAAGCTCTAATAAACTGACACTCTTTTGGTCGTTTCAGTAGGTTGAATATGTTTTCGCGCCATCTGTAAGGTTTTTGTTGAATTTTTCACTTTTTAATTTATTTCCAATGACCTTCTCTCCATCCTAGTTAGCATAGCATTCCACCGTTTCAATCATTCAACTCCGTATCTCCCCAAGGCTCAATTCCAATCTCTCGCCTCAGGGAATTTTCGGTCAGATGACTTTTTCATGTCTTTCCCCGAGAATATGCCTATTGAATATTTATAAGTTTTTCAAGCACAAATAGATATCAATTTAGCAATGACGTATTTCTGTTTTTTGAAAAAAAGCTTACCACTGCCACCTTTCTGTAACTTGGTTGAGAATGAATATTAGTACGAATTAAAAAAGAAATCGTTTATCGAATACAGAACTTTAGTAAAAGAATATTCAAGTTAACTCCTTCCTTTAACAAGAAAGTTCATTTGTACATAACTTGATTTAAGACCACAAGGTTTTACCTCGACTAAAATTAATGTGGTTTCACTTGCCTTCAATAACATTACAGCACAGCTGTACAACTGACAAATACATTTATTAATCAAAGAGAGATTTACTTATTCCTTTCCTCCGGGAAAAACGACAATTTTTATTGAAATATCTGAATTCGATGATTCGTTTTGTCGCTCACAACAATTTGATCATTACTTAGAACAGCTACTGAGAATGGTTCCTTGAATTCTCCTAACTGGCTGCCATTTGTTCCAAATTTTTCGACAAACTTCCCATCTAGTTCAAAGACTTGTATTCTATGATTATCCCTATTAGTGGGGCAGATATGTGCAGATTTGGGGCCGGATTGCTCACTTTTTGTTAAAAGCACCAAATTTTCAGGAATGACAGAACTAATTATGACTATTAATATGTGATATGGTGCCATCGCAAATTTTCCTGTTTAACTGGTTTTTGGAGTGAAAATTAAACTGGCCGCCATATTGACCGGAAGTAAATATCATCTAACCGAAAGTACACAAAATTAAGCACTTTTTTACACCAAAATAACGATGAAATTGTTTATTATAAAAATTAATCGTGGCTATTAATATGTGATATGGTGCCATCGCAAATTTTTCCTGTTAAACCGGTTTTTGGGGTATTACTAAAATGGCCGCCATTTTGACCGGAAGTAAACATCACCTAACCGAAAGTACACGAAATTTAGCATGTTAAGGTCAAAATGACGACCAAATTGTTTGTTCTATGTTTTGCCGGATTTTTATGTCATATAAAAATGTCAACCGTGTTACAAAGTCAACCGTGTTACAAAGAACCGGAGGTAAAAGCGGGATAAAATGGAAAATGCAACTCACTCAAAGCAATTCATTTCGGTAGTGAATTAAAAAAAATGTGAAACAATGATTCACATTTTTAAGCATAGGAAAGGCCAAACATACGAACAAATTAAACTAGCAAAAAATAAATTATTTCTTTTTACTTGTTTTAACCCTTTAAGTCCCAATAGTGACCAACATCAATTTTCTTCTGACTCACAATATCCCCTGATACAAGGTCAAGAGATTAGGTTTTAGAATTAACAAAATTATCACCTAAGAGAAAATACTTTGATCTTTTATCAAATTCTCTCAACTTATCCTTTTAAGGAAATGTATAGAGACCAGTTTGAAGAATTTGTAAGGGTTAAAAGAGTTGATCCACTATTAATTAGAATGCAGAATGCTTTACTGCTTTCAAAGTAATTTGAAGTATAATAGCTCCACCATTTTGTGTTATTGAGGAGTACAAATAACACTGTGCATGTACATATTGGATTGAAATTGCTTTCACGATAACGTCTACTCATTTCAAAGTTTACCATTTTCAAGAACCTTCCGGGAAATTCGTTTGGAAAAATGGGTAAATGGGTCCCCTACTCAGCCTACTCAGCCTACTCTTTACAAACAGTGTATAGGTTCTTTAACTTACCACAGCATTTTATATGAACAAGGACCGTGAGACCGGGCCTACAGGTTTTTTTTTAATTCCAAGAAGACTAGAAAGTGTGACCGTTTACAGATGACATCGGAAAGCACTTTACGTCAGTTATTTAAAAATCCTGATCGACGATTGGTCCGGCCGGGGTTTGAAACCGCGGCTTCCCACTCAGTAGACCGGTGTTTACATCCACCTGGAGCTAACCGGGCGGCGGTTTAAGTAATGGTCCAGATATGAAGGAAAGGACCAAAACGCAGTGAACACGTCGGAATGCAAAAAGGTGCTAACTTTACTATTGTCTCTACTAAGGCTCTGATTGGTTTAAACATCAAATTTCACGAAATCTTCGCAAAGCAGCATGTATATTAATCCCCTTTTTTTCTATCCAACTTCCTTATAACACAATCTCGTCTGAGTCAAAGTAACACAGAAATCGTATGTGCGGATCATGTAAAATTGTGAACATTTCTTGGTCATTGTTTGCAACTCTTGTGATTGGTCGAAATGTTTTAACTCAAAAATACACCCTTTAAAAGTGGAGTTTAAACACATTGTCTTTCTTAAACAGCCTTTCTGTGGATTTATGCATTCTCTGCGTAAAATTGAAAACATTTCTATGTGAGGAAAGTGTATTGCGCCACAACAAAACAAATTGCCTCCTTCTTACCTGGATCATTACTTAATTCAGCTGTATTTCACTATCAAGTGAATGTGCGCCTCTCTTAACAGAAGTGAGAGTTCAATGTAACTCCCATGTCATTTAATTATCATGGACTGAGCAGCACTGATTATCATGTTAAAGTCCACATGCAAGAAAATAAGGAAAAACCGTTTTCCGAATGTGCATCACTTACGTTAATCCACAGAGCATGTAAAACGTATTCTCTTGGATATAGTATGTGACAAATATGTCGCGCCGAGAACAGCTTGAAGACTAAGATCTGGGGTAAACGTGTATCAGGAACTATACTAAGATACTGGAAAAAGCTAGTTCTTTTGTAAAGATCGAAACAAGCAGGTGCATTTTAGATTCCTTGCATATTGAGCAACGCATGTCGTCTAGGGCCAGATGTCCAGTCTTTTCCCTGCATCGTTTGAAGTCAATTCGCTAGAAAGCTAGAAAGCAGATTCCCTTCTTTTAAGTCTCTATGTTCTTTGTGTCCAAGACATTTTCGTTGAGTCCACTCTCCATTCTAACTACCCATGAAGCTTCTCTACCATGAAGCCAAGTTACCTTCCCTATCATATATTTGGTACTAATGTACATCGACGCTACCTTGCAACCTACGAGATTGCTAACGTATTTACTAAAAAGGCTGCACTTGCACTTTCTCCGTTCCATGCATTCACAGGATGTGACAAGGTGAATACTTCCGGTCACCTCCAGAAATAATCGGAGTTGCTTTCGCTTACACGTTCTTCTATGCGATAGAAAAAGTAGTTCTTTACTGTCAACTGACGAAGCCAAAGGTAGTTTCTTTGACCCGGCGGCCTGCATTACTTAAACATTTCAAGGGCACGGCGAACCATGCTGGCCTCATATGGAGTCAGCAGGCACTGGTTCCAAGCATCTCGGTTCCTAGTCTGCAAGATTGGGGCTGGATATCTCTAAGAGGCGAGTGGCGACTCTCCTGCACACCACTGTCAGTAATTACAAAGTTGAGGGTGGAACTAATCAAGTACGCTCGCGTAAGAAGGGTTATGCCCAGAAGAGTAACAATCGTGAAAGGTAAATCACAAACTCTTTTTTTCGATTACAAGCACTCGTCTGCATGAAGTATCAAGTCATTAGGTCACCGAGATATCATCTGTTCTTCTCCGATATTCTGTATCATAGCCAAAGTAGGCTCAAGTTTAGTACGTAATGGATTATATATGATGAAAACACTAAATTGAGTGTATACATTAGATTTAAAGAAAATATTAAAGTAAAGAAAATTAGCAGGCACAACAGAAGTTTAGGCTCATTCCTTAAAAGTTCCGACTCTGGTAGTTTTACTTCCGGTCTAGCTGGCGGCCACTCATATCATGTCTATTCTACTTTTTTAGACAATTTGCGTTAAAATAATATCTCTTTGAATAAAAAAAACAGCTGCCTTAGGCATTTGCTGAAATTTTCTTATCCAAGTTGCTAAAATTCGGACGTTTAAAGAAAATGTTAATTTCACTTCCGGTTCAAAATGGCCGCCATTTTAAAACTCTTATTTTTCACACTTAATGGACTTTTTGGCGATGGCACCATATCCTATCTTTTTTAGGGCCTTGAAAACTATCATCATGCCAAATTTCATGCTTTTAACAGAAAGTGAACAACTGAAGCACATATCTGCTCTACTATATCACAAACCAACAGGTGCTTTGACTGAGTCACTGACAGAAAATATGGATAATTAAACTCCCCGTCCCCTTGCCCCTGCTTACCAAACTTGTACTGAAAATGCCCCTCCCTATTAAATACTTTGATACAGTGTTCATGTGAGTCTGACACTATGAAATATTCACCACACTGAACACAGTGAGCCGGATAACAAAATGAACCCTGCCCACCTATCTTCATTACAAACCTACCATCCGGGGTAAAGATCTTAATCAGTTTGTCACCTGTATCAGCAACAATAACATTACCAGTACTATCTAAGGATAGACCCCAAGGGAAAGAGAGCCGACTATCAAGGCTTCCTCGGCCGCCAAATGAACCCAGGTGCTTCCCGTCCCAACTAAGAATCTGTATTCTGTGGTTGTTATTGTCTACTACAAAAATATTCCTGTCCTTATTAATGGCTATTCCAATAGGGTATTTTAACTCTCCAGCATTTTCACCTTTGTGACCAAAGAATCTTAAGAAAGTACCATTACTGTCAAACACTTGAACCCTATGGTTACTGCTGTCAGCTACTAATATTTCGTCCCTATCACTTACTGCCACCCCCACAGGATAATTAAACATTCCATCACCCGAGCCTTTCTTTCCAAAAGATAAAACAGGTTTGACTTGAAATGGTTTTAAAATCACAGTAAAAGGACTACAAGAAATATGTTCCCCGTTTACCTTAACTAATAATTTGAATGTTCCCTGGACTATAGGAAAATAAGTGATTTTGTAGATTCCATTTTTGTTATCATCTAATTTCACTTGGGTCACGCATTCTCGTTCTTGTTCGTCCTTGATCTCTACCGTGACACGGTCGTGTTCATTATACCACTGTTTTCTCTCCGCGTTTCTTGTAATCAAATTAAATTGAGCTTTACGCCCAACAGTTCCTTCTTTCAGTCCTTCACCTTCAGCCAAAAATTTGCTCGGTTTTTTTCGATAACCTTCTTCCATGCACAGGAAACCAAGTTCTTCCCCGTTGACGGTATCAATCGTCTTCTGATTTTCCACGAAAACTAAAGTCTGCAAACTACTGGGGTCATGAACAATAGGCTCGGATTGATTCATTCCCTGAAAAATTGTTTGTAGTGATTTTTTGAGTTGAACAACTTCCGCGGTGGTGCTTCGTTTTAAAAGTTTATCAGCTTCCCCCAATGATGATTCAGTGGCATTTATCTGTTGCTGAATCGCACTTCTTTTTGCTTTTAAACTTTCGAGTGACTTCTTCGTTTGGTTTTCCACAGAGGTAATAATATTTTTCATTTTTGCTTGAATTGTTTTGATCAAGCCATCAGCAAACCTTTGGACATCTCTCCTGGCGATTTCACTTCGTTGAATCACTTTAGCACAGTCTTCGTCTAGTTGAACAATCACGTTTAGTTTTGCATCTAACCCTTTTCTTTGCGATTGAAGGATAGATTTTATTTCGAGTGTTTTGTTTTCGGCTTCTTCTTCGATTAATCTCAAATCATGACCTCCGTGATTCAAAGTGACGCAAGTTTGGCAAAGAGCCGTCTCGCATTCTTTGCAGTAGTATTTAAGCTCTTCTTTCTGGTGTCGTTCCTTTGAACAAAACACTGGTCGCTTCAATACATCCTCGTAGTCCTTGTCTTGGAACTCTTTAACTGCCAATACGCGATGTTCCTTTTTGTCTCGCATCATATTGTGACCAACCAGGCATTGCTCGCAATAAAATATGCAACACTGGAAACAATACGAAGCTTCTGAACTCTTCTTGTCGCAGTTTCCGCATGTCACTTGAGTTCTTTTGCATTCTTTAATAGCAAGAACATCGATCAAGCCGTTCAAATAAAAGCTGGTTGGAAGATCTTTCAGATCACCGCTCGCAGGTACTCTGCTTAGGGTTTGGCACTTTGGACATTTAATGGCCTCTCCACCGCCACACGTTTCGTACCGTCGTTTTAGACACTTTAAGCAGAAACTGTGCAGACAGGAGAGATGTTTAGGATCCGTAAACAAGTCCGAGCACACCGAACAAGACACTTCTTCGCGAAGATTGTGAAATAGCTTTGTCAGATCCATGATGGCTTAGGAACAAAGGCGAAGTGACCTTCGATGCACTCTACAGCCAACAATGAAGTCTTGTGACTTTCCATCTTTAGCTTTTCTCGGAAACAAAGGACGACGAGCCAATCACAGATCGCTTTTGTAAGAGTCAATCATTTTGAAACAGAAACCAGACGTAAAATGATCAATAACAAATAAAGATTGAGTCCGTTGAGAAGTAATAATGCGTAAAAACCACACCTATGCATGAAGTATGTGTACGGTCANTCAGCAAACCTTTGGACATCTCTCCTGGCGATTTCACTTCGTTGAATCACTTTAGCACAGTCTTCGTCTAGTTGAACAATCACGTTTAGTTTTGCATCTAACCCTTTTCTTTGCGATTGAAGGATAGATTTTATTTCGAGTGTTTTGTTTTCGGCTTCTTCTTCGATTAATCTCAAATCATGACCTCCGTGATTCAAAGTGACGCAAGTTTGGCAAAGAGCCGTCTCGCATTCTTTGCAGTAGTATTTAAGCTCTTCTTTCTGGTGTCGTTCCTTTGAACAAAACACTGGTCGCTTCAATACATCCTCGTAGTCCTTGTCTTGGAACTCTTTAACTGCCAATACGCGATGTTCCTTTTTGTCTCGCATCATATTGTGACCAACCAGGCATTGCTCGCAATAAAATATGCAACACTGGAAACAATACGAAGCTTCTGAACTCTTCTTGTCGCAGTTTCCGCATGTCACTTGAGTTCTTTTGCATTCTTTAATAGCAAGAACATCGATCAAGCCGTTCAAATAAAAGCTGGTTGGAAGATCTTTCAGATCACCGCTCGCAGGTACTCTGCTTAGGGTTTGGCACTTTGGACATTTAATGGCCTCTCCACCGCCACACGTTTCGTACCGTCGTTTTAGACACTTTAAGCAGAAACTGTGCAGACAGGAGAGATGTTTAGGATCCGTAAACAAGTCCGAGCACACCGAACAAGACACTTCTTCGCGAAGATTGTGAAATAGCTTTGTCAGATCCATGATGGCTTAGGAACAAAGGCGAAGTGACCTTCGATGCACTCTACAGCCAACAATGAAGTCTTGTGACTTTCCATCTTTAGCTTTTCTCGGAAACAAAGGACGACGAGCCAATCACAGATCGCTTTTGTAAGAGTCAATCATTTTGAAACAGAAACCAGACGTAAAATGATCAATAACAAATAAAGATTGAGTCCGTTGAGAAGTAATAATGCGTAAAAACCACACCTATGCATGAAGTATGTGTACGGTCAGTTGCAGTGTAGATAAAAGTAAAACAACTGTTAGCCTGTGTACTGTCGCTCCCATATCTCTTCCCCAATTTTGTTTGAGGGGAGAGGGTTACTGTACACAGTCTAAACAACTGTCTGTGAAAGTGTTATATATTATCATGTTAGTTAACAAACGGACCAATCTTAACGCCTTAAAGTGGATTTATATTACTAGAACTTCGCCTCATTTTTTACATGTTCATACTTTCTGCTTTCATGCGTTTAGTACAAGTCTATAGTATAATCTGATTGTGTCACAGGTCCCTAACAGAGCCTGCTATAGAGCACAATTGTTTCAGTAGCCTGCGTAGCAAGCGTTTCCGATTGGTTTCGGAGCAAAGAAATACCGAGGAAGGGGACTTTCGGTTTTGACTGCGCGAGAAATGAAACGAGCCCCACCCCTCTCCGCTCTTTTACTTGCGCCGCTTTTCTCGCGGTCTTTGACTCTCGTTCCTCGTTCTTTTCTCCTAAACCGTACAGAAACGCTTGCTACGCAGGCTATTGTTTCAGTTACTAATCGCGACAGCTAAGTGACAACACAGCATAACCTAGGCCCAGGCCTCTTCGTTTCACGGTGAGGATATCAATTCGTTTATATTTCAATCATCTTTTCTTTATCTTGGAATGTTTTAGCATAATTCGTTTTTGCCCAGAGTCATTCTATTAATCATTAGAAATATTACACAGAGGTTGTGTAATGACACTTAAAAAGTAAATTCCTTAATACACCAACTCAAAAAGTTCAAAGCATATGTACTTTCGTACTTTTGCAGTATTTGTACTTTCATACTTTTTTGTTTTCGAGCGAGCGGGATTGATAAACGCCCATTTTTGGCTTTGTTTTGTTGGCTAAGCTTTGTTCATAAGTCCTCAAAGTACGCTTCAAGAAAAAGTAACGTAATAGCCCATTCTACAGTTAAAATTTTAAACGAGGATGGAGTTGACCTTGTTTTGATACAACCCTTCTTGCTTCATTATGTAAATCATGTTGTTCTTATGCTAACTAGTATTTTTGAGTATAATTTTCATAAGAAAAGAAAGAAGGTTTGTATCAAAACAAGACCAACCTCAGCCTCACGTTCACTCAAAGGCTAGGATACTAAGCCCACAACTGTGAAATGGTCTATTACATAACATTTTGACGTGA